AGGCCAGCCTGTATCTCCTCTGTTCCCTGGAATCAGCTGGGTGCCAGGGTCCTTGAGTCCACCCTTGTTCCACTGTAGTCCACCATCCAAATAACAGGCTGCACACCAAAAATCTTCAGCTCCAGCCAAGGTATGAGAGCAATGCTCCCTCCCACTCAAAGTCATGCCCCCAATATGTTGCACCCACAACAGGGCATGTGGCTAGTTTTAACCTGATGAATCCCTCTTGCTGGGTTATTGTATCCTGATAGCTGCAATCTTTAATAGGGTGACAAATTTCTGCCCCACTCCCTGGAAATTCCAATCAAAGGATGTTGACAGGGCCACCCAATAGGCACATTTCTCATGGTGTGTTGCAGTGATTGGTAGCCATGGTGAAAAATGGGCAGAACATGGTTTATTGTAACATATCTACAGGCAGGTGCAGTAGGCATTCAACTGCAGTGGCATTGCAGAAGAAGAGGAAGTGAGGAGGAACATTCTCTATGGTTTCCTGGGTCACTGGGGAAGCTATCTGGTTGGATGCTGCTGCTCCATGTGATTCTGTTAGCCAACTTAGGTCAGGCAGAGTTTGTTTAAGACCCTGGGTCATGGGCTTGGATTTGCATTTTTGCAAAGTGGGTGTAGGGATATGGATAGCTCACCCATCGGACAGTGAATAATTGTAGGGAAAGGCTCCAGGTGAGTAGGGAATAGGGACACTCCATCCTTTCTGGAATCCTCCCATTTGGGCACAGACTGGCTAGGCCACATTCAGCCCTCCAAGACAGACACTGTTGGCACATCTGATACCTGCTTCATTCTACATTGCGATTACATCTGTGAGTTCTCCAGTCGAGGGCCTTCCCGCTGGGTTGTTTGTGAATTTCGAACTCTGACTTTAAATACAAGCGCCACTTACTGCAATTGGACTCCATGTGTTTACTGCTGTCGCACCACACTGCACCTCCCATTTCACATAAATAGCATATAGTAAAATGGGGAGGTGGTAACGAATGGATTGTAAACCAGGCACTACAGCTGAAGCTGTTTTTTGAAAATTGCCTAAATAAAACACCAGCTATCCTTTATCATTCAGATTACTTTGCATCTGAGACCTTTTTTCCCCCCCCTACAGCCTCTTGAGTCCCAGTGTATTTTTCAGTGATATCTCAGTTCCACTTAGAAACCTCAGGTTTTGTAATCTAACCTAACATATTATACAATGTTACTTTTTGTTTGGGGGGGGGGGGGGGGGGGGTCAGATAGGGCTTTCATTTGGCCACAAACTTGGATACATTTTGGATAATATTTTTTATTTCCTTTGGTTTTATTGGGGTAAAAAATGGAAAAAATTGCATTTCCCTGTTATTTTCTCTAATGCAGTTAGCTACTTTTCCACTAGGTGAATCTGTACCAGAATAGTGTCATTGGGTGCTAGGCCCCTTTTAGGTAGAGCCCTCCTGCAACAGGAAGGAGCACAGACACACTTGGGGCATGGGAGCTAAACACCACACACCTATGTAACCAGCATATGTAGGCCCTGGACAAGGCAGGAGGCTGGGATGAATAAACCTGCACTCAGGAAGAGCTGGCTGTAATCTTTGTCCCTTATCGAGGTGGGGGCTGGGGCAGATTGCAAAAGGCCTTTTAGGCCAAGCGTTGCCTGTGTGAGTCTGCTTCCCTGGAGGGACCCAGAAAAGGTGTATCTAGCAAGGAGGTGCCTACAGAAAGTACAGTCCTGCAAGTACTAATGAACCCGGGCAAAGGAGAGACTGTTAGTGGGAGATGGCTGCTAAAGGTGCTACATATACTTTCACACTACTGCGGGCCATCCACTATATTTGATTGACCGTGTAATGTGAAGTGTCTCTAGATTGTATGTAAAATGTGATGTGACTGTTATGTAACTTCTAGAATTCCATCAGTAAAGTGCAGCAAACTACTTTATGTGTGGACATTCCTTCCTTTGGGGATGTAAAGATCAATGGATGGGAATGTTGTGTAGAGGCCTCTGGCATGGAGTGGGACACAAGATGGCGGAGGGTTAAGACTCATCAGAGGAGGACAGTGTTCTAGCAAGACAGAAGTGGAATTAGGGACTTGGCGCCAAATACAACTCTCTTACATGTGCCCCCCCATATATGTACTGCTAAATATAATCAACAAAGTCTGCTGTTTACAATATCGCATTAGTGCAAATTTTTGTAATGTAGCAGAGATGGTACAGATCAAGGTGAACTTTAAAACTGCATTACAATGTAAACAAGAAAAAGATGAGTTTGTGTTAGTTGTCAGCATAACAGTACAATAAGAGGAAGGATGTCAGGTTGACAAGGGCACAAATGAGCAGCAGCATGACATCTTTAAAGCTTTGCAATCTCTAAAAAACTGAATGACATTGTTTTCATTTACGTAAGCATATGATGTCAAACACATTATATGATGTCAATGGTGTGAACTGGAGATTGGTTTTAGGAGGGGAGCATTTTGTTTATTTATTTTTCTTCTTCATGGGGGGAGCTGGATTTGGTCAGTGGCAGCAGTAGCCAGTGAGCAGATTACTTCTAGTAATGAGGTATTTCTGGCTGCAATCAGTCTCCCGTCATTAGAGATGGGGGGATGCTGGCTGCAATCAGTCTCCTTTATAGGAAAGATGGTTGCAGGAGCTGCTGAGTTCAGGTGCCGTTTTAAAAGAGTACTAAGTGTGACCACTGAGTCAGGATGCTGTGCTGGTTTCAGAAAGCTATATACAATGCCCTGCTAGCCCTTTCCACCAGTCATGATCTTCTTGCATTGCATAGAGAAGCAATCATTGATGTCACTGGGTCTAAAATACAGCAATGTAATGTCATGAAAATGGAGAGGTGTTATTGAAAATTTGTTTCAGCATGTGTGAGGTGGGGTTGGGAAGTCAAAATATGAGCAATTTAATCTTCTGATTTCAAGTAGTATTAAATCCTTAAAGTGTTACTAAACTCAGGACCCGGCATTCACTATATCTGGTCTCTCCCAGTATACAGAACATGAACCAGACCAGAAGTTCAGGGAAACAGCACTGAGAGAACAGGAGCCAGCAGCATTGAAAGATGAAAAATGCATGTGCTTGGGTAGATTTTTTTTATAATAGCTTAATGTATTATTAAACCCACAACAGTAAAATCAGTCTGTATATGCAGTATTATTATTATTATTATACAGGATTTATATAGCGCCAACAGTTTGACAAAATGAAGGTAGACATTACAGTTACATTACAATTTGGTACAAGAGGAAACAGAGGGCCCTGCTTATTAGAGCTTACAATCTAGGAGGAGGAGATGAGTGATACAAAAGGTAATAGCTGTGGGGGATGAGCTGATGGAGGAAGTACATGGTGGTTTACTAGGTAGAAGCAGGATAGGCTTCTTTATAGAGAAAGGTTTTCAGGGATCGTCTAAAGGTGGATAGATTAGGAGATAGCTGAACAGGGGTAGGGAGTTCCATAGGATGAGAGAAGCTCGGGAGAAGTCCTGGAGGTGAGCATGGGAGGAGGTGACACAGGAACTAGAGAGCAGAAGGTCTTGGGAGGATCGAAGAGAGCGGTCTGGTTGATATTTTGAGACCAGGTTGGTGATGTAAGGCATGCTTGTTATACTCACTGTGGATCCCAAGGGGTTAATTCCCCACATTGTGTAAAAAGGCTGTTTGATCCTGTCTTCTCTGATCCTCCCCTTCTTTTACTGTCCCCAATCCACCAGCTGATAGTACAGAGCTCTAGGAGTCACTCTGCACATACCATCAATGTCATGGTGTGATAATTTAAGTTCAACAAGTCCCAGTTTTATGTAAGGTCACAGTAAATTATATCTAAGGCGGCATGACTCGATGCAGCACTGAATGACCTAGCCACAAACTCATTGTCAACTCAACAGTAAGCAGAAAATTGGTATCTTGACCAAGACTAGTATATATTTGCAGAGGAGTTTATGATATTATGGAGAAAAAAACAAAGTTCCAGATAAATTTGATGGAAAGCGATCTTAAGATGCTAAAGAAGGTTTTGGGTGGATTGATGGGTATTGTCTAAAATATGTAGAAAATATGTATAAACGTTTAGGTAGAGTGTGCATATTTACAATATTTATTGTGCTGAACTAAAGTATATCTCCTAGATTGTAAGCTCCCAGGATCAGGGCTCTCCTTTCCCTCTTGTATTGAACTGTATTGTTGCTGTATTGTCTAACATTATATTGTAAAGCGCTGAGCAATCTGTTGGCGCTATATAAATCCTATATAATAATAATAATATTTGGTTGGGTAGGGTTCTGGAAAGGATTTTGAAGTTAAGGTTTAGGGGCAATATAGGTTTAGAATGGCTACAGAGAGAAGGATTTTTGCCTGGCCAGCCAGCAGCTAGCATTGATGGAATAGAACCTCATAATCTATCTATTACCCAGTCCCCCCACCCTTCTATTCACAACACAGACCTACTGGGGAGCATCTTGATATCTTGGAGGATATACGCATTCCACCAGGCCAGCCAGCAGGCTAGCATTTGGGGTTTGGGGGTGAACTACATCAATGGAATTGAAAGTGTTTGCCAAAAGGTGAAGATGGAGTGAGGGAAATAAATAATAATAATAATAAAGTCCTAGAATAAATCCATCTGGAAGTACACATTTCCCAGTTTTCAGGCTTATAGGAGTTTTTTTGTAACGTGTTACTAAACCCACAACAGTAACATCAGTCTGTCTATGCAGTAAAGCATGCTTGTTATACTCACTGTGGAACCTAAGGAGTTAATCATCTGCATTGTGTAAAAAGGCTGTCTGATCCTGTCTTCTTTGATCCTTCCCTTCTTCTACTGTCCCTAATCCATCTAATGATAGTACAGAGCCCTTTGAGTCACTCTGCACATGCTAAGTTTAGTGTATATTGCTAGAATTTTTTTTTCTTTGGGAGGGTGCATGTGATCAGCACAGGGCCAATCAGCACTGTCCAGACAGAGGGTCAGGGGTTATGCAGGCTCATAGGACAGTTAGAGCAGAATGAAAACTCCTCCTACAAGCTTTAACCAGTGCTCAGCTGGACACTTATAGAAGTCACAAGACTGCTATATACTGCTGAAGAGAAAAGGTATTTAACCATTTATATTTACTAAAATAATTGCATTTTCCATGTGTGTAATGCAGGAGACCAGATATAGTGAATGCAGGGTCCTTGGTTTAGTAACACTTGAAGTGTAATGTGGTGTTTTGACATGGGGTTCACTCACTCAATTACCTAATGGGTTAATCCTCTGCATTGTGTAAAAATGCTGTTTGATCCTGTCTTCTCTGATCCTCCCCTTCTTCCAGTGCCCCCCTCTTAGCTCCTCATAAGAGTGGAGACACTCTGCACATACTCAGTTTGGTGTGTATTGCTAGAGAGGTTGTTTTTTGTTTTCATGGGAGAGTGCATGTGATCAGCACAGAGCCAATGAGCACTGTCCAGACAATGGTCAGGGGTTCTGCATCTTCCTATAGCAGAAAGAAAACTCCTCCTACAAGCTTTAACCCGTCTTCAGCCGGACACTGATAGAAGTCACAAGACTGCTCTAACTGCTGATGAGAAAAGGTATTTAGCAGTTTATAATTACTAAAATAATTGCATTTCCATGTTTTGTGTACTGTGGGAGACCAGATATAGTGAATGCAGGGTAATGGGAGACCAGATATAGTGAATGCAGGGTCCTGGGAGACCAGATATAGTGAATGCAGAGTCCGGGGTTTAGTTACACTTTAATATCTTTTTATGGGACATAGTTACAGTTGTGCTCAAAAGTTTGCATACCCTGGCAGAAATCGTGACATTGTGGAATTGATATTGAAAATATGACTGATCAAGCCAAAATACTGTCTTTTATTTAAGGATAGTGAACATATGAAGCCATTTATTATCACATAGTCGTTTGGCTCCTTAAACTATAATGATAACAGAAATCATCCAAATGTCCCTGATCAAAGGTTTACATACCCTGGAATGTTTGGCCTTGGTACAGACATACAAGCTGACAAATGGCAATTAAAGGTTAAAGTGAATTTTTTTTTAAATAACACACATATCTATACTTACCTACTGTGTGTAGTGGTTTTGCACAAAGCAGTACCAATCCTCCTCTTCTCGGGTCCCCCCGCAGGCTCTCCTGAGTCCTCCTTCCTGTCGAGTGCCCCCACAGCAAGTAGCCCTGCTATGGGGGCACCCGCTGCATGTGTCCATTCACACACTTGCTGTGATAGCCGTGACTCCAGTGCGCATCACTGGATCGAGAGGGGGCTTAGATGAGTATTGGGGAGGGATACTGCACACAGAAGGTTTTTTTATCTTCATGCATGGTATGCATGAAGGTAAAAAACCTTCAGCCTTTACAACCACTTTAATTTCCCACATCTGTGGCTTTTTAAATTACAAATAGTGTCTGTGTATAAATAGTCAGTGAGTTTTTTATCTCTTATGTGGATACACTGAGCAGGCTAGATAGTGAGCCATGGGGAGCAGAAAAGAACTGTCAAAAGACCTGCATAACAAGGAAATGGAACCTTATAAAGATGGAAAAGGATATACAAAGATCTCCAAACCTTTAAATGTGCCAGTCAGTATTGTTCAATCCCTTATTATGAAGTGGAAAATGCAGGGATCTCTTGATATCAAGCCAAGGTCAGGTAGACCAACAAAGATTGTAGCCACCTTGCCAGAAAAATTGTTTGGGATACTAAAAACAATCAACAGGTAACCTTGGGAGAAATACAGACTGCTCTGGAAAAAGATGGCTTGGTTGTGTCAAGGAGTACATCATGATGATACTTGAACAAAAATGAACTGCATGGTCAAGTTGCATACTGTGCCAATGCCAGTATAGGTCCAAGTCAACATTTGACTTTGCTGTTAGCTATCAGCCTGCTATAATTTTGTTTGCTTGTTTTATCTGCTTTTATACACCATGAAGCCGTGTAGCCAGTGTCAGTACAATAAATGACTAAGTTTTTTAAAAGACTTACTTCACTATAGAAGTGTATTTTTTTGATCCCACGGTGTTAATGTACGGATGCCAGTGAGCGCGCCTGAATCCCTTGTGGAGCCATTAGTGGATACGGATATCAAGTGTGTTTTGACCATTTATAATCTAATGGTCCATCGCATCTGGTAAGAGGCGTTTGGTTAATGGAATGGTGGTGGAATCTTCTATTTATGGTGGATCACAACACAATCTCTGTGGAACGTGTGGCCCTTCACCCACACTGTAGAATTGGACTGCTTAGGATATACCCAATTTCTTTAGTTGGACTGGATTGTATTTTTGTTATCTAATTTTGTAATACACTTTTTGGAATGGACTCACATAATCTACTTAGTGCATTTATGTGATCACTTTTCTACACACATTTGTTTGTGTCAGATTATGAATTTTACTGTTTGTAGATTATTTATTTATTTATAATTTATGATATTGAGTACATTTATTCGTAGTATGCAATATTGTTTTTATTTATTCTTTTTAGCGCTGCTTTTCCTGTTTATTTATTATTTCAACAAGTATCATAGTTGCAGAGCAGCTGCTTAGCTTAATCATTATTTATGACCTAGCTTGGATATAATTTATTTTTATTATTTCAGTTAATGCCCCAAAAAGCCCGGTTACAATATGTCTGACAAAACCTTGACATGCCTCACAGCTCCTGGCACACTGTAATCTGGAGTGAAGAGAGCTTTATGGTCACAAGCATAAGCATTATGTTCACAGAGTGGTCAACAAGGTCTATAGCAGCAAGAATACCATCCCCACTGTGAAGCATGGTGGTGGCTCACTGATATATTGGGGGTGTGTGAGCTCTAACGGCATAAGGAATCTTGTAAAAAATTGATGGCAAGATGAATGCAGCATGTTATCAGAAAATACTGGCAGGCAATTTGCATTCTTCTTCATGAAAGCTGCGCATGGCATGCTCTTGGACCAGCACGACAATAACCCTAAGCACAAGACCAAGTTGACCATCCAGTGGTTACAGCAGAAAAAGGTAAAGGCTATGGAGTGGCCATCACAGTCTCCCGACCCTAATATCAATGAACAGCTATACCACCTGCAAGAATTTGAGGCCTCATAGACAACTATTACAAAAGACTGCACACTGTCATTGATGCTAAAGGGGGCAATACACAATATTAAGAACTAAGGGTATGCAGACTTTAAACAAGGATCATTTTATTTGTTTACTTGTTGCCATGTTTTTTTTATGATTGTGCCATTCTGTTATGACCTACAGTTGAATATGAATGGTCACTCATGTTTTCTTTAAAAATAGTTCATACAGTATACAATAATCCAAGGGTATGCAAACTTTTGATCACAACTATACATGCCAGTAAAAAAATCGGGTAGGGATCATTTGATGCCCTCCAGTCGTTTGCCTCATGAGCTCATTAGGGGTCACGCAGTGGCATGATTTGTCACCCGCTTTGTCTATCTGACACAGCAGAGGACAGATTGTAGTGCCAGGCAGACCCTGGTACCATGTGATCACTGTGATTGATCACGTCAATAATACACAATGGCTTTCATTCATAGCCTTTCATTGTGTACTATTGTGATCTCTGTGATTGGTCATAGTGATCACATGTTACAGACAGGGCCAATCACAGTGCCCCTATACCATGTGATAGCTGTGGCCAATCACAGTTATCTTAATTGTACACAATGGCACATTGCACATGAATGTCTGCCATTTATAAAAATGCTTATAACAGTGATCCTAATTACCTGCTCAGAGCAGCCAGTGTCCCACCACACCAGTCATATGATGATGCAGTACTGCTGTGGTGGCAGAATGAAACATTTTTTAAAAATTCTTCATCATCCAAAAAATGTGACAGAAAAAACTCACTAGGCTTCTTACTAAAGACTGTCTACTTTCCAAAATGGAGTCCTGGCATTCACAGGCCTCAGGAAATGAAATCCTCAGTACATCAGGTATCCATTTTCAAATATACAGTTGCAAGAAAAAGTATGTGAACCCCTTGGGATTACGTGGAGTTTTGCATGAATTGGACATAAAATGTGCTCTGAACGTCATCTAAGTCACAACAATAGAAGAACACTGTCTGCTGAACATAACACTACACAAACATTAGATGTTGCCATGGTTTAATTGCACATAACATGTAAACATTCTCAGTGCAGGGAGGAAAAAGTATGTGAAGCCCTAGCTTAATGACTTCTCCCAGAGCTAATTGGAGCCAGGAGTGAGCCAACCTTGACTCCAATCAGTGTGATGATATTGGATGTGTTGCTGACAGCCGTCCTGCCCTTAAAAAAAACACACACCTGTTTTGGGTTTACTGGTTTCAAGAAGCACTGTCTGATGTGAACCATGCCTCGCAGAAAAAGAGCTCTCAGAAGACCTACGATCAAGAATTGTTGACTTGCATGAAGCTGGAAAGGGTTACAAAAGTATCTCCAAAAGCCTTGATGTTCATCTGTCCATGGTAAGACAGACTGTCTACAAATGGAGAAAGTTTAGCACTGTTGCTACTCTCCCTAGGCGTGGTCGCCCTGTAAAAATGACTGCAAGAGCACAGCACAGAATGCTGCATGAGGTAAAGAAGAATCCCAGAGTGTCAGCTAAAGACCTACAGATATCTCTGGCACATGCTAACATTTTTTGTTGACACATCTACAATAAAAAAAAACATTAAACAAGAATGGAATACATGGGAGGACACCACGGAAGAAGTCATTGCTGTCCAAAAAGAATATTGCAGCACGTATGAAGTTTGCAAAAGAGCACCTGGATGTTCCACAGCACTACTGGCAAAATATACTGTGGACAGATGAAACCAAGATTGAGTTGTTTGGGAAGAACACACAACACTATGTGTGGAGAAAAAAAAGGCACAGCACACCAACATCAAAACCTCATCCCCACTGTAAAACATGGCGGAGGGAGCATCATGGTTTGGGGCTGCTTTGCTGCCTCAGGGCCTGGACGGATTGTTGTCATTGATGGGAAAATTAATTCCAGAGTTTATCAAGACATTTTGCAGGAAAACGTACAACCATCTGTCCGCCAACTGAAGCTCCGCAGAGGATGGGTGATGCAACAGGACAATGACCCAAAGCATACAAGTAATTCAACAAAACAATGGCTGCAACAGCACAGAATACGCCTTCTGGAGTGGCCCAGTCAGAGTCCTGACCTCAACTCGATTGAAATGCTGTGGCATGACCTTAAGAGAGTGATTCACACCAGACATCCCAAGAATATTGCTACACTGAAACAGTTTTGTGAAGAAGAGGGGTCCAAAATTACTCCAGATTGTTGTGCAGGTCTGATCTGCAACTACAGGAAACGTTTGGTTGAGGTTATTGCTGCCAAAGGAGGGGCAATCAGTTATTAAGCCCAAAGGTTCACATACTTTTTCCTCCCTGCACTGTGAATGTTTACATGTTATGTGCAATTAAACCATGGCAACATCTAATGTTTGTGTAGTATTATGTTCAGCAGACTGTGTTCTTCTATTGTTGTGACTTAGATGACGTTCAGAGCACATTTTATGCCCAATTCATGCAAAACTCCACGTAATCCTAAGGGGTTCACATACTTTTTCTTGCAACTGTAGTGTATATACCATAGTTTGTAGGTTCTATAACTTTTACACAAACTAAATAATATACACTGATTTGGATTATTTTTACCAAAGACATTTAGCAGAATACATTTTGGCCTAAATGTAT